GCTTCGCGGGCGGGTTCGCCCGGAGAGGCACCCGGAGCCCCGCGCCCCCCCGCATTTCCACCTCACGGGGCCGCGGAACACCCGCGTGTGTTCGGCCGGGCTCAGCCTACCCCCGAGACACCTTTTCACGCAATCGCGTGGCTTGCGAATGATGGTTTAACTTCATCTGTTGCGGTGGGCACGTGTTCTGTCACACGAAATTAACTTGTGAAAGGCTTTGTATCATTTTTTGATTTGTGTTTGGCGACAACGCGGATCATAATCTCACCGCGCTGGTGGTTGATACAATTGCTAAATTAAAGGCGTGTTTTCGGCTTTGAAAAACAAGAACAACAACAAAAAAAAAACAACGCGCACAACCCTCTGAGAGCTCACTCAGCAAAACGACCCGAGGAGCCGTACAATAACGCGGCGCGATGCTCTCCGTGCGTCTGCGACATCCGCACACACTTCTGTGTCAGCCTGCGTCTCTATTGTCTGTGCCTAAAGACAGTCAAGCGACTCCTGGGCTTCTCACCTATAATGGCCACCTGAAAGGACATAGCGACAGCACACGGACAATCGCTCCAACTGCTTGGAGGAATGTAATTGGCGCTCTATTTTTTCCGTGTCTGTACCTATTCTCCCGTGGCAAATATTCGCAACTGAACCTCTTGTCTTGGCGTGTTTGTACGTTTGAGCCGCAAGAAGCGCGCCAAATATTTGTAATAAAGTGACCAAACCCCTCTCCTAGCACGGCGCAGTTTTGTTTTCTCTGCTCCTCACCTCGAAGGAGGACACCGCCTTGAGCCAAGCGTTCTGGTTCAGGCGCTCCTCCGGACTTTCGGATTCAAGTCTAAGGCTTTCAGTAGGTTGGGGCTGAAATAATGATTTTCCACATTTCAAAAGGGACGAGGCTCTATTTATAAATGTTACAGAAGGTTTCGTTACTTCAGGAACAACAAAACAGGAACAGAGCTGCAATTTTCAAGAAAATAGGATTTCAAAATATAGAAATAAAAAAAAAGTGGCGGAGACGATGTATAATTCAATCAAATTACAGAAAATTGCTTTAAAATTCAGAACAGTAGCGATCCATTATGTCTCTGTTTTATTAGTGACAAGTACAATTACTCTAAAATAAAGAACACTGGTGAATATATAATTGGCTGTAATCATGTTAGTGTTTGAATAAAAATGACGGGGACATTTAACACTGACAACAAAATGTTCAGAAACAACTTATTTATTCAAACAGTTTTTATTTGCATCCACGTGAAGGAGAAACACACTTTTGCTTACGAAAAATCAAGTTTTTTTTAGCTTTCAATAAATATATAACTAAAAAAGAGAGATTATTAATTATTTTATTACCCAAGGTTTAATAAAGTCTCCTGAGTACGACTGTATTATTATTGATTACTGAGTACCCAAAAGACGCCATCTACAGGAAAACGTCTTTAGGCTTAACACAAATCTAATCACCGCTGATTTAAAAAAAAAAACAAAACCAGAGTTAATATTTCCTCTTTAAACCCAGCTCCGATTTTACCCACAACACCGATCACAATATTTTCTTTGTAATTGCTTCTTGCGATTCAGTTTGTTATAATTTGACACGATCTAGGAATCCGCTGCAAGAGGCCTTTTCTCTGAGATATGGCGTTTAAAAAAAAAAAGCAGCAATTGAACTCCACAAAGAAACAGTTTTTCCTCTTCTAAAGCGACTCTTTTCTCTCAGGACTGACTTGACGGTCCCCGAAAACGCCGAACAGCCCATGAGCTCTCTCCCTTCAAACCAAGCGTGGGGAAGATTCTTGCAAAAGAGGCCTGAAAATAAAAATAACTTGACTGGAGGCAGTTTGTGCAACCATCGTATCACGGAATAACTAACATTTCTTTAACGTATTTCCTCTCGGATCATGTCAATAAACATCAGCTACGGCAAGCATACTCTCGTCTGTTCTCGCCATACGCCCTTCGCCCCACAGCTGGGCAATTGAAGGTGCTATTTACCCGCGCTGCTCCCCTCTGAGCCCTTGCCAGGGAAGCCGCCGAGGCAGAAAGCGTGCCCTTAACATTCGGATCGTAGAAATACCGACCCGCGGGGATGGCAGATGCCCTCCGCGACGCCGCTCCCACAGCCCAGGTCAACCTACAGAGAGTACGAGGAGAGCTGGAGGAAACTTTCGGGACTCCTCTTTCTGCGGGCTTCTTTGTTGTTGTTGTGCGGTTTTTTTGTTTGTTTTGTTTTTGTTTTGTTTTATTTTTGTTCTGTTTTGTTTTGTTGTTGTGTGTTTGTTCGGTTTTTTTCCCGGTTTTAATCCCGAACGAATTTTTCCTTTGCTATATTTTTTTTTTATTTTGTAATTATCTTCCCACCT